ATATACCAACAACAACAACAAAGCCTTTAGTCCCAAACAAGTTGGGGCAGGCTAGAGGTGAAACCCATAAGATCTCGCGACCAACTCATGGCTCTGGCACATGGATAGCAAGCTTCCACGCACCCCTGTCCATAGCTAGTTCTTTGGTGATACTCCAATCCTTCAGGTCTCTCTTAACGGACTCCTCCCATGTCAAATTCGGTCTACCCCAACCTCTCTTGACATTCTCCGCACGCTTTAGCCGTCCGCTATGCACTGGACCGGTGTATATATACCAAATACAATGTAAATTATGTCACTCTTACAATTAAATGTGCATTGTAATATGTACAATTTAGTAAACTCACAGCTTTACAATGCGTACGTATAAGAACAGCATTCCTATTGCAGGAGTTCTTTGGGAGTAATTCTTTATGGTGTTTCGTTTTCAGGCTGACAGTATTTCAGGCTTCCATTCCAATACGCACATTCCAGTTGTCGTTGGTGCGCAAATGAGATATGAAGTTACCGGCGATGTTATTTACAAGGTACAAATCATGCTTTCTGAAGAGTAGAACTACTCATTAATGGGGAAAATTATATCCGGGGATATGGGTGTAAGTGTATAAAGTTAGCAGTTCAGATTACCATATTGGCTACTCTTTCAAAAAGGAAACAATGTCATTATTTCGCTTTTAATGTAGGCTCTTCAGCAATATTGGTAAACGTCCAAAGATATTTGATAGTTGGTATAGCTTTGTCTGGGGCAAAGAAGATATTTAGTGCAAAAACTGTGTTCTCTTGGTACCATTTCTTGGTGCGGAGAAAGGAATGCTAAACTAGGGTGCTCATTTTGTGGAAGTTATGCTGCTTTGCTTACTTCAGTTTTTCTTCTGTCCTCCTCATGCCAAAGATTGTGATTTGTATTTTACTGAAGTTGTGCCGCTTCCTTCTTTTCTCATTTTGACTCCATTCAAGTGAAGCTGCGTCAAAGCTGACCGTAATCCTAATTCCTGAAACAGCAAATTGCAACATCCTTTATGGACATGATAAATTCTTCTCATAGCTACGCAACTGGTGGGACATCTGCCGGCGAATTCTGGTTAACATATATAAAACTCTGGATGCCTAATATCAATAATGAATGGCCATAGTTACCTTCCAGGTAGAAGCTTATACCATTAATCTCTTTTCAGGTCTGATCCAAAGCGTTTAGCTGCGACTCTGAGTGCTGAAAACGCGGAATCTTGCACTACCTACAATATGCTCAAGGTATACAATTATGAAGCCATTCTCTGAAACATTTATTTTCTCCTCCAGAAACGTGTCAAATGCAAGCGGTATGCAGGTTTCCCGCAACTTATTCAGATGGACAAAGGAAATAGCATATGCGGACTATTATGAAAGGGCACTGATAAATGGTGTGTTAAGCATCCAGAGAGGGACGGATCCCGGAGTGATGATTTACATGCTACCCCAGGCACCTGGACGGTCTAAAGCAGTAAGCTATCATGGTTGGGGAACCAAGTATGATTCGTTCTGGTGCTGCTATGGAACAGGTAATATTTGAAGCCTGCAGTACTGTTTATTATATGGCGTTGAAAAAAAAGGGCAACCTGGTGCATGTAGCTCCCGCTTGCGCAGGGTCCAGGGAAGGGTCCGACCACTTTGGGTCTATAGTACGCAGCCTTTCCCTACATTTCTGTAAGAGGCTGTTTCCAGGACTTGAACCCATGACCTCATGGTCACAAGGCAGCAGCTTTACCACTGCGCCAAGGCTCCCTTCAAAAGGGCAGCCCGGTGCATGTAGCTCCCGCTTGCGCAGGGTCGGGGAAGGGTCCGACCACTTTGGGTCTATAGTACGCAGCCTTTCCCTACATTTCTGTAAGAGGCTGTTTCCAGGACTTGAACCCGTGACCTCATGGTCACAAGGCAGCAGCTTTACCACTGCGCCAAGGCTCCCCTTCTATTATATGGCGTTGCCGCCTTCATATTAAAATCAAGCAACTGCAGCATTTTCCTTGCGATTCTTGCTTTCTGCTCTAAGTTGTGAAGGTTGTAGTTTGAAATTGACCAAGTTCTCGTGAATGTTCTGTTTTTGCATTTGCAGGGATCGAATCCTTTTCGAAACTTGGCGACTCTATTTACTTTGAGGAGAAAGGAGAGACACCAGCACTCAGCATCATTCAGTACATACCAAGCACTTTCAACTGGAAAACAGCCGGGGTTACTGTAACCCAAGAACTCGAGCCCCTCAGTTCCTTGGATATGAACCTTCAAGTTTCGCTCTCCTTTTCTGGAAAGGTAATTCTTCTCGAGTTTTTTGGCATGAAATTCATTTCAGAGCATGCAGAGTTAGTCTCCTTATTTTTGTTCAGAATGGTCAGTCTGCTACATTGAATGTGAGAATACCAACATGGACATCTGCCAGTGGTGCGAAAGCAACTTTAAATGGCAAAGATTTGGGATCAGTAACTCCAGGTATAATCATTTGAATGTATCCATTTCAACTACAGCCGTAATTTTGTGCAAGCAAGTGTTTTATTTGATCCTATTGTGTGGGCAGGCTCTTTACTCTCAGTCACCAAACAGTGGAACTCAAATGATCACTTATCACTGCAATTCCCAATTGCCCTAAGGACCGAAGCAATCAAAGGTAAACAATGTTGGAAATTTCAACTGGTACGAAATTTGTCGAGTTCACAATTCAGACACAATAATTTGTGATGTTAGCCATGATTAAATTTAAAAAAAAAGCAAATTAATAGTGGACATGATTTTTTGTGTTGCCCTTCCTAATGCTAAATACTGTTATTCTAGCTAGAATATCAACTAAGCTATTTATTCATAACTATGCCTCAGATGACCGGCCGGAGTATGCATCTCTTCTAGCAATTCTATTCGGGCCATTCGTTCTTGCGGGTCTCTCCTCCGGTGATTGGGATGCAAAAACTGGCAGTGCTGTTTCAGATTGGATCACTGCAGTTCCTTCGTCGCACAACTCACAGCTGATGACCTTCACACAAGAATCAAGTGGGAAGACATTCGTCCTGTCAAGCTCAAACAGCTCCCTGACAATGCAAGAACGGCCTGCAGTCGATGGCACAGACACCGCCGTCCACGCGACATTCAGGGTGCATCCTCAGGACGCAGCAAGGCTGCACGGCACCCACGGCGCAGCCCTGGAAGACACCTCTGTGCAGATCGAGCCATTCGACATGCCAGGAACGGTGATCACCAACGACCTCACCTTGTCCGCACAAAAGAGCGCCGGTTCCTTCTTCAACATCGTACCCGGGCTCGACGGGAAGCCAAACTCGGTTTCGCTCGAGCTCGGGACCAAACCAGGGTGCTTCTTGGTGTCTGGGGCAGATTACTCTGCCGGGACAAAGATCCAGGTCAGCTGCAAGAGTTCTGTCCAGAGCATCGGCGGGATACTCGAGCAGGCGGCAAGCTTTGCACAGGCCGCTCCGCTGAGGCAGTACCACCCAATAAGCTTCGTCGCCAAGGGGGTGAAGAGGAACTTCCTCCTGGAGCCGTTGTACAGCCTGAGGGACGAATTCTACACGGTTTACTTCAACCTTGCGGCCTGACGCTGCAAGATCACTTGCGCCTTGGTACAAACAAAACCAGAATAACACACGCCCTCTTTCTTCTCATGTATACTGTAGTTTACAACAGGCAATAGAAGAGGAAATGAGTTTGTTTCTTCTGGAATACTTCGAAATTACAACTAAATACGATAGTGTCGTTTCTTCGATGAGCAAGTTACTTCTGGTTGTGTGAATTTTATTGTTTTCAGATGAACAAACCACGATGTGCATATATGTTGAAAATGCTTCTAAAAGGTTAGCTGCATCCTTCGGCAGATATGCTGCTGTTTATCCTGGTAACGGATAAGTGATCAGGGCAAGTAGCAGCACCAAATCATCCGAATTAAAATACATCTCCAGCTACTGGGAGGAGGGCAAAGCCCGGGATCCTATCCACTCTCATAAACAAATGCAGGAGGAATCAGAGCCTGCATTTGTTTAACACATCCCTGCTAAACACCCGGCAAAAGAGTTGATCAATGTGCACATCATGTCTAGAGGGGCCTGACCACAAATCAAGCAAAAGAAAAATTCTATCTCCTGGAAAGGATAGCTTGGCACAACCAATTGGCTTCTTTCCAAGAGACAATCATGCCAAAACAGCTCATACAGATTTCAACCCACGTGTTGAAAATTGATCACCTTGGATCAGAATGCGCAAGCGAAATGAATACAGCAACAAGGCAGAGACCAATCCCCATTCCTGATCATACGAAGAATCCTGATTTGAACTTCAGCTTTCCCAAGGCATAATTTTTCAACTTGTGATCAACCACAAGGCCTCCATTCTTTTCATCCTATCATCAGATTAGAGCAATGACATACAAGAACTGTATCCATGTTTGCCATTGCTCACATGTTTTAGAACTAAATCTCAAGAACCATAACCGTGTTTCTCATTGCTCTTCTATTTTGGATGTATATTTGAGTGCAGAGCTAACCAAGTACTCCCTCCGTAAAGAAATATAAGAGAGTATAGATCACTAAAGTAGTGGTGATCTAGTACAATTTTCCGAACTAACAAGAGTGAGAACACCAACTATACAACCATAAACATAATTGAACTGAACATACTCAAACATGTAAAATGAACTCACACGCAATATGATGAACCATTGCTGGCTACTATTACTGATCAGAATTTGACACACATGGGACAATAGTACATAACAGAGCTAGCTAAAATGAGAAGCCACAATACTGACCGAAAAAACCACCATGAATAAAGTTACACAACACGCAAACCATTCGGAATGACTGAGAGGACTGAGTTCTTGCAGCTGCCACGACGCAGTGTGCATCACGGTGCCGTACAATTTAGGAAATGCGGCAGCCAACAAGAAAGGGAGGTGCAAGGATGGCAATTGGCACAGCAAAGACGGATGATGAACCTTCACAGATTGCAACCATTTCTTCCCTGTAAGACACCTAAATCTTGTCGAGCTTCTCTGCCTTCACCACCGGGTTGGCCTTGGCGATGGCATCCCTAGCTGCAGTCCGGTAGTCGAACTGGCAGTCATGCTTGTCGGAATAGCGATGCAGTGAACAGTACATGTTACCACATCGGCAGTTGAATCCCGTCAGCCCAACCCTCTTCCTGCAAGTTGAGCACCGATTGGGCCCCTCCTTCCTCTTGGGGCTCACGGCAACAGCTTCGCTGGTGCCTGCAACATCAGCAGCAGGCTGCACAACGAGCGCCTTCACGTCAACTTGAGCAACCACCACCTCCGCGCTCGCAGCAACAGCCGCAACAACAGGTGCTTTCCCACCATCGCCACCGTTGACGATGCTATCGAAGGAGGAGGCAGCCAGCTTGGCCTGCTCCTCCTTCATGACCATCTCCTTGTGGCACTTGGAGCACATGTTCATGGTCGCGGCGCTGCCAAAGAAGCCACAGTTATTAACGCATAGGATTGGGCCCTCCGGCTGCTGGCAACCCGCCTCCTTGTGTTCCATCTTGAATAACTCTAAGCTGCACACGGAACAGACAACGGTAAACATCAGCATCGAAAGAGGAAGAAACAAGTGCAATCTTCCAAGGGCAAGCTACCAAACCGAGCCACGCAACAAGAATCCTAAACGTAGTAGTATATGATACTACGAATTGTAACGTCCAGGCACAAACAATCGTCGTTGCGGGGAGGAGGGCACGGCTTTCGGAAACAAGATCCTGATTTCCAGGAAATCAACATGTCAAAAGCGACTTGTCCCTAGCCACCCACCGCTACCAATCAGAGCCACTTATTACTTGGATTTCGCCGAATTCAAATCTCGAAAACTGAAAATTTCTCCCCAGAGATGGTAAATCGAACACAACGTGCGCCAACCACGCCGCATGATTCAGCTAATCCGGGCGGCTTTAATTTGAAAAAAAAAAGTAAATCTAATCATTTCCGCACGGCACAGAAGGAACAGAAAGGGGAAAACAACACGCAAAGACTTCTACCCGAACCGGACCAACCACCGAACGGCGCCGCGAGCATCACAGAACGCGGCCCCCTTCCGTCGATCCCCGCACAGCCGCCCACAAACTCCCTCCTGGAGAACAAAACCCACGCGGATCGACGAACGGGACGCCCGAATCGAGCGCCGAACGGAACAGATCAAACCGGGCGAGGGGGGGAGGGGGGAGGAGGGGGCGAGCGAACCCTAACCCTG